GACCCCCCACCATAGAGTCCTGCTGTGTCAGGGGCAGGAGAGGATCTTTGAACACCCAAGTCACCTCCCCAGTGACCCTGCCTCACTCTGCCAGAGGGACAGAGAGTCCCCCGTCAAGACGCACATGGTGGACGTTCTAAAACTCCTTGTAGCTCCCACCAGCTCTGCCACGAGCTTGGAGCTCTGCCTTCCAGGAGGGCGCGTAGAGCGGATCTCACGCGTATCTGTGGAATAAAACTGAGCCGGACCCCAGTGATGTATTCCCATTCAGGGGCCTTAACATGTATGCGTGGCCCACAAGGAGCCAGCTCACAATTTCGGGAACATGGACGATCAGGGAGCAGGGGAAATAATCCGTTTCACACCCCCAGTGATACTTCCAGTGAACCTTTGCCTGTATGCCCTTGGTCACTTTCCTGAGGGCAAATCTTTGTTCTCGCACAATGATTTTGGGTTCTTACGTACAATTTTTCTATCTGGCTGCTCTCAACCAGTACAACAGTTACGATATTCCATTTGTACACCTTGGCATCAATTTTACCCATTCTTCTCACTTTACTGTTTGGGGCTCTTTTCCCCCAAATCATGTTTCCAAAGTAAGGATGTAAAGAATTCACACCTAAGAACTTTCAAAATCGTTTTTATCAGTAAACCCTATTATTCTTATTTCATTTTATTTATTTTTGAGAGCAAGCCCGTGCGAGAGAGCACCAGTGGAGAGGGGCAGATAGAGAGGGAGACAGAGGATCTGAAGCAGCTCCAGGCTCTGAGCTGTCAGCACAGAGCCTGACGTGGTGTTCGAACCCACAAACCATGAGATCATGACCTGAGCTGAAGTTGGATGCTCAACTGACTGAGCCCCCCAGGCGCCCCGAGAAGCATTTATTGAGAAGTGGTGATTTTAGGGGATGCGGAGCAAGCCTGGAAATGATGGGTTCCCATCTGCAGAACAGAGGCCCAGGTGAACTAGGAGAATCCGAGAATCAGGAAGGACTGAGTCTGGTCCAATCCCAGACAGCTGCCCCTAACCGGACCCTGTCCCTTATTCTGTGTGTGTGTGGGGGGGGGGGGGTCCGAGGGTCTTAGGAACCCTTCTTGCCCCACTCCCCTACCGCCTCTCTCCACTTGCCCCCACACCAACCCCCCCAGCCCAACTCCATTTCCTATCGGTTAGTTGGTGCCCAGCTCCCCCTGCTGGCAGCAGGGAGAGCCCGCGTTCCTCGCACAGATGGGTGGAGGCAGTGAAAACCGAATCTTTCCTCGAGGATTGCCTTTCACACCAGCATTCAGTTGCCCTCGCATTTTATTTTAGTAAACTATTCAGTTCCAGTCATTTTCCTCAACAACCTGCAAAGGCATCCTGCGTCTACAAGCAAAGGTTTCAAACACGCCCCACGGGTGTGCCACATGGTCCACGGATGAATGGGGCCTGTATTCAGAATTCTGCTCATCGTCCTGTAAAATACACTGTATCCGAGCCACAGTGCGTTCATTCATTCAATAAACATTACTCGGCATTAACAAAGCAGACAGAAATCTCTGCCATGGTGAAGGGTATTCCCTATGGGGGGAGAGGGATGTTTAATAAGTCAAATAACTAGGAGGAACAGTGGCAATCTGGAGAACAGGCAGGAGAGAAAGAAGGGATGTGCATGAGGAGGACGTAATTGCCATTTTAAATGTGGGTGAGAAGTGAGCCACCCCTGGGGGCAGGTGGAGAATGTTCTGGGTGGGCACAGACACAGGTCAATACAGAACTCTGGGAGCCGACGGCCTTGGTGTTGGGTCTCTTCCAGGCTCCGTGCCTGCCAGTGTGGGTTTTAGACGGGCTGCTGCACGGTGCCACCCACGACCCCTCCCCGACACGCGACAGCCACCAAGTCCAATTCAGCACGAAGTGGCCAGTCTGGACTGAGAAGTGCTCTGAGTGTAAAATGCACCAGATTTTAAAGACTTAGTACCCCCCCCAAAAGTGAACTATCTTCTTATTGTCTTATATTGACTACATGTTGAAATGATACATTGAATATATTGGGTTAAGTACAATGTTTGTTTTCTTTAATTTTTTATTAAAAAAACTTTTATGTTTATTTATTTTTGAGAAAGAGAGACAGAGCGTGCAGGTGACTGGCTGGAGGGTCCTTCACGGGCCTGGTGGAGCCTTCCTGGGAATCGCACTGCAGGCTGGGACTCTTCCTCCACTATCCTCCCCCCTTCCCTCGCCTTCTGGGGGCATCTGCATCTGGACTCTCCCTGCCCTCACGTCTCTCTTGCACATCTATCCCTTCCGAGAAGACTTCAATTCGTGCACAGGTGGACATACTGGGGGGAAAAAAAAGAGCGTTTGTAAAGAAATCAACTTGAGGGATCAGAGATATGTCCCCATGAAAGAAACAGAAGGTCTGGGTAAGCATCCGTCCGACTTCGGCTCAGGTCACGATCTCAGGGTTCGTGGGTTCAAGCCCCGCGTCAGGCGCTGTGCTGACAGCTCTGAGCCTGGAGCCTGCTTCCGATTCTGTGTCTCCCTCTCTCTCCGCCCCTCCCCTACTTGCACTCTGTCTGTGTCTCTCTCTCTCAAATAAACTAAAAAAAAAAAACAAAAAAAAAAACTTCTTCAGGCCAAAGGGAAATGATACCAGATCTCCACGTAGGAACTTGAAAAGCATCAGAAATGGTAAATATGTGCATAAATATAAAAGACTTTTCCTCTTAATTTAAAATATGTGATTAAAGTAGAAATTACAACCTATTACAGAACTTGTAAGGAATCTAGTTTAATACATCTGAACAAGACCACAGAAGACAGGGATGGCCAACGGACCTACACACTCAGCAGGTTTCCACACTTTACGGGACGAGCTACACTGACACTAGGCAGACTGGAAACCTACGAATGTATATCGTAAGTCCTGGAACATCCGCTAAAAAAATTAGGGAAAGACAGTACAGCTCAAAAGCCAGTAAGTTAAACTACAATTCTAAAATACAAACCTAATCCAAACAAAAGAATAAGAAATGGTAAACTCAGGGGCTCCTGGGGGGCTCAGTCAGTTGAGCATCAGACTTTGACTCAGGTCATGATCTGGTGGTCCGTGGGTTCAAGCTGCACATCGGGCTCATTGTCGTCAGTGCAGAGCCCACTTTGGATCCTATGTCCCCCGCTCTGGCTCGTGCTCTACCACTCAAAGATAAATGAACATTAAGAAAATAGAAAATAAAATGATAAACCCAAATCTAACTATACCAACAGTCACATCTCATGTTAAGAAACGCAAATTAAAACGCACGGCCTGGAGCGCCTGGCTGGCTCAGTGCAGAACGAAATTATGGATCTCGGGGTCACAAGTTTGAATCCCATGTGGGGTATAGATACTACTTAAAAAAAAAAAAATCTGTCCGTAAGCAATGGTGGTGCCTGTCAGAACAGGTAAGAGTGTAAGATCCAACTCTATGGTGTCTATAGGAATTCCTTTAGAAATCCTATAGGAATTACTTTAAATAGGAAGATACAGAGAGGTAAAAAGTGAGTGAATAGCAAAAAGTATGCAAACAAGCATCAAAAGGCTGAAAAAGGGGCGCCTGGATGGCTCAGTCGGTTAAGCATCCGACTTCGGCTTAGGTCATGATCTCACGGTTCAGTTCAGGAGTTCGAGCCCCGCATCAGGGTCTGTGCTGACAGCTCACAGCCTGGAGCTGCTTCGGATTCTGTGTCTCCCTCTCTCTCTCCCCTCCCCCGCTCACGCTCTCTCGGTCTCTCAAAAATAAATAAATATTAAAAAAAAAAGATGGCTGAAAAAGTCTAATTCACATCAGAAAGGATGGAATTGGAAACAAAAGATATTACCAGAGATAAAGGGGGAAATTTTGTAACAATAAAATCGCTCAATTCGTTAGTGGGACACAACATAACCTAATAATAGATCTTTGAAAGTAAAATCGATACAATTGGAGAAATAGACAACTGCACAAACAGAACAGGTTGTAACACCTCCCAGCATGTGACACAGAACCACCTGTGACAGACACAGAACCACCTGTGAGGACACAGAAAACGTGAACAATGGTATTCATCACCTAACTGATATTACAGGACAAATTCACCTGACACTTCAGAATACATTGTTTCCAAGTGTATGTGGACCACTCAGCAAGACAGACCATGTACTGAGTCATAATCTGAGTCTCAATAAAACTACAAAAATTGAAATCATACACACAGTCTCCAACCTGGATGGAATTAAAGCACAAATGAATCAGATACTTAGGGGAAAGAAAACAAACACCTGTTAATTAGGCAAAATACTTCTGGATAATCAACCCAAGGGTCACAGAAGTGACAAGGAACTTAAAAGCATTTACAACTAAATATGAAAACGCAGCATCCTAAACATTTTGAGATGCAGTTAAAGTGGTGCTTAAAGGAAAATGTGTAACTTTAAGTACTTCTATTAGAAAAAAGTCTAGGGGCCCCCTGGGGGGTGGGGGTGCAGGGGCCCTCAGTCGGTTGAGCGTCCGACTCTTGATTTTGGCTCAGGGCCTCATCTCCCAGGTCGAGGGTTCAAGCCCCATGTCAGGCTGTGTCAACAGTGCAGAGCCTGTTTGGAATTCTCTCTCTTTCCTTCTCTCTCTGCCCCTTCCCTGTGTGCACCATCTCCCTCGCAAAAATAAACTTAAATTTAAAAAAAAAAAAAAAAAAAAAAAGAAGGGGCCGGCATGAATCATCATGTCCCAAAACCTAACAACGTGGGTCAAATGAATCAATTCCTGGAAAATAACAGCGGACCCGAGAGCAATGCAGGGGTTAGAGGCATCAACCTCTGTGCCTCCACAAATGCGTGCGTACCTTCCGACACCCCCCAGACATGACTACTACTGGAACCTACTGCTGACCGGAGGCCTGACCGAGAACGTACATGGCGGCTGAACGCATGCTGTGCATGTTGCCTTCTCGCAATAAAGCCAACTGGAGAACATGTGATTGAAAAAATTCCAAGAGAAAATACATTCATAGCGCCGCGCTGTATTCGTTGAAAAAAACCCACATGCGTGTGGGCCCAGGCTTTTCAGGCCTGTGCAGTTCAAGGGTGAGCTATATACCCTGCCTGGATGACACGAGAGGCGACGAAAAATCTGAACAGCCCCACGGTTATTAAAGAAAACGAAGTCGGTTATAAAAAACCATCCCACGAAGAAAACTTCCGGCCCAGACGGTTTCACACTCGCATTCTATAAACAGGGAACAAAAGGAGAGTTGGAACCGGGTCATTAACAAGGCGGCTTTAATGCGAACAGGAGGGATGGCCAAGAGCCACCGGGCCGCAGGCTCTCAGGGCCGGACACTACTTCCTCCTCCCCCTGGGCGGCCGGGCCAGCAGCGCCGGGGCCAGCTGCCCCGGGGCCAGGCCGCGCACCGAGAAGAGGCGGGCGGCCCGCTCCCGCAGGGTGCCCCCACACTTCAGCCCGCGGGCCGTCAGCGCCGTCTTGAGCCCGTCCAAGCCCAGCGCCTCCATTTCCTCCACGGAGGAGAACGCCAGCAAGTCCAGAGTTTCCACGGCGGCATCCTGAGAGGAGAGAAGAGAAAGTGTTTCAAACCGGCTCCTCCCCCGCGAAGACCTTCCTCAACTGTCACTACACTCGGCTTGTCGAGGAATTCCCGTTCCATCAGCCGTCACTCGCCGCTGAATTTTAACCATCGTCTCAATGTCGCTCCGTGCGTTCTCATTACAAGCGTTAAGCTGTCGTCCGTACGGTTAGAAACCAGCACTCAGGACAGACACAGAAGTTACCAGATGCCCAGATTTTTTTTTTTTTAATTTTTTTTTTTAATTTATTTCTAGGAGAGAGAGAGAGAGAGACAGCGTGAGCAGGGGAGGGTCAGAGAGAGAGGGAGTCACAGACTGAAACAGGCTCCAGGCTCTGAGCTGGCAGTCAGCACAGAGCCCGACGCAGGGCTCGAACCCACGAACCGCGAGATCATGACCTCAGCGAAAGTCGGACGCTTAACCGACTAAGCCACCCAGGTGCCCCAGATTTTTTTTTTTAAGTGTATTCATTTTGAGAGAGACAGACTGAGAGGGGGCGGGCCAGAGAGAGGGAGAGAGAGCATCCCAAGCAGGGTCCACAGTGTCAGCGCAGAGCCCGACTCGGGGCTCGAACTTGTGAACTGCGAGATCGTGACCTGAGCTGAAACCAGGAGTCGGATGCTTAACCGACTGAGCTCCCCAGGCCACCCCCAGATTCTCGATACGACTTTTCTTCTATTTTGGATTTTCCAGTCATTCAAACAGCAAGATACACCCAGCCTCCCGCAGCCTCCCCCCCCACCGTTACTGCCAGGAGCAGCATCCTTTCAGACGTTACAGTGAACAACACTCGTTGTTCCTCCTCGTTCCGTCGCCCTAATGCCCTCTAACTGAATTGTTAAGGCCGTTTGAGTTCCCATGTATATAACTCAATGAATCCAAACACTGTGCACTAATCGTTCGAGCCGCCCGGCAGCCTTCCTAGACTCTCGGAGACAACGAGGCACTTCCGGTGACGGACACTCTGCAGGGGGTGATGATGTTCACATGTGGGGGAGGGGGGGTTAAGAAACACATTCAAGAATAGTAATTTTCTCTCACAGCAAGTTATTCTTCAATTATTAAAGAGCTCTAGAGACAGACTCTTAATCCTTCTCACTGAACTTTATTTTTTAGAAAGAGTCATTTTGTTAGATTTCAGGAGTAAATCTTGGTTTCATCATTTCTGGCCCAACCCTAAAACCCCACTTACGGTTCACACGGTGGGGAGGAACACATCGCTACAACCTCAATACCGAGAACAGAGTTTCCACGACTGAAGGCTCAGAGAGGTCAAATCGGGTCTTACTCCTTATCTTATTCATAACATAGTCCTTTATTCACGTTTCTAAGACTTCACACAGGAGAAAGCCCCTAATATGTAAAAATAGCATAGGGGTGTCTGGGGGGCTCAGGTCATAATCTCATGGTTCATGGGTTCGAGCCCTGCGTTGGGCTCTGTGCTGACAGCCCGGAGCCTGGAACCTGCTTAGGACTCTGTCTCCCTCTCTCTCTGTCCTCCCTTCCCCCCACCGCCGCTAGTCTAAAAAGCAAATCATTAGATCAAACGGTAAACACTAGAGAGTCCTCTCAGAAGCTGGTTTGCAGAAGACAGTGACCCTGAGCGACTGGAGGGAAAACGTGTGGTGAAGACGCATCTCCTGGTGGTGGGCCGCAGAGCAGAAGACGTGAAGACAAAGACAAGGGAGCTGCCCCCACCCCTCGGAGGGAGCGTCACCTCCAGCTGTCCCAACAGTCTGGCGCACGAGAAAGAAACAAGAGTAACCAGGGACGCAGGGCTAGAAGACGAGCCCGTTTCTGCTGATCTAAAACACATCTGCTGCACAGGCCTGGCTACCACCGTGTTATCAAGGAAGAATGCACAGGACGTGCCTCACTGAGTGTCAGCCCTCGGCTCAGGTCATGATCTCACGGCTCATGGGATCGAGCCCCGCATCGTGGATCCTCTTATGTCCCTCTCAGCCCTGGCCCCCTCGCTCGCTCGCTTTCTCTCTCAAAAAAAAATAAACATTAAAAAAAAGAAAGAATAAACAGTACCAACCAAACTATAACACGTGACATGCATACAAAGTCAGAGATTATTAGAACGATCAACGCGCAGCTTAGAACCAATGAACTAGGGACCATGGACGCCACCCTGTGGCAAAATGATCCAAATCCCAGACTTGAACAGAAAACAACATAAGAATTCTGGAGAAGCGTAGGCAAGCTTTACCTCATCCTGGCGCTGGTCGTCAAACACACCTTCCCACTACTTACTGAGCCCACAGACCTGACCTGGCCCGAGACGGGGGCCCCGAATTACTCACCGTGTTTCCTGACGGGCCATCCTCTGGTTTGGTCACTGGCACACTTCCCCCGCCCTCTCCGGGCACGGCCTCGGCAGCTGTGTCCCCATCGGTCACGTCCTGTGCCTCTGTCTCCTCAGTCAGTCCTGCCCCGGTTGCCCCCTCTTCTGTGGGCTCCTCGCCCCCTGCCCCCCTCTCCTCCCGGCTCTTCTCTGTTTCCACAGCCATGGTCGCCTGCACACCCCTCCTGGTGGAGGTCCGTCCCGGCTCGGGGTCTGCGGAGCTGGCACACCCAGAGCGGGTCCCAGGGGCCTGCGGCGGCTCCGGGGGCCTAGAGTCTGCACCCTGCACGCCAGTCCTCGGAGAGCTGCCGGCAGAGTCAGCCGCCGGCTCAGCGCCACCGCCGCTGCTTGTGGGAGCGCGGGAGCTCGTCCCTGAAGTGCTGGGAGCTGCTTCTCCGTCGTCATCCGAGGTCTCAGAGCTGGACGACTCCGCGGTCTCCAGTCCTTCCATGCCCAGCCTGCGGGGACAACACAGGCGTGACGCCCTCCCCAGCTCCTACGGGGCACAGAGTCGCAGCCCACCCGGGAGCAGACCCTGTCAGATCCGAGGACCTGCTTGCTGGAGACGGAGAGCAGGTGAGTTTCGGATGATGTTCCGGGGGATAAAGAGGGGAATTCAGCGAGGCTGGAACCAACCGTCCCAAAGACCCGAGGGCTCATCTCTAAAGTGAACAAAACTGACTCTGTCTAAAGCTAGTTTTCTACCTCGTATGAATCTCAACTGTCAGAAACTAGGTAAGATAACAGGCAGTTAAAGAGAAAATCCTGTTTTATCCATAATCGCCCCAAACTGGAAACTTCCCAAACTATCAACCGGAGAACGGACAGACAGAAGCAATAATACTTGGCAATAAAAAGGAACGAATGGTACACATAATCCCAGCCACGGACAAGAGCGTCATGATATGAGAGGGAAGGCGGACCCGGAGGGAGGAGGGAGATGAGACGGGAGAGATGTGGAAGGAGGAGGGGGACACGCAAGGGGGAGGAGGGGGGATGCAGAGGGCCGCAGGACTTTCCAGAAAAGACACCATCAGAGTAAACCCACCAGAGACCAGTGGCTGCCAGGGCCAGTGTCAGGGGAACGGGAATTATCGGTGCAGGGCACACGAGCAATTTGTAGGAAAAGGAGACCCTCTGTATCTTGAGGTCGGTAGCGGTTACACGATTTTGACACTCCTACAACTATTCAATCAAAAAGCATGAATTTTCGTATATATATTATATCTTGAGGTGCCTGGGGGGCTCAGTTGGATAAGTGTCTGACTCTTGATTTCGGTTCAGGTCCTGGTCTCACAGTCCTTGGATTCGAGCCCCATGTTGGGCTCTGCACTGCCAGTACGGAGCCTGCTTGGGATTCTCTCTCTCCCTCCCTCAGAATAAACAAACTTGGAGAAAAAAATGAAAAAATAAAGCGCGTTTATGCCAGAGAGACAAGGAAGCGCGCCGGCCCGCAGACCTGCTCGGGATGAAAATCGGCACGGACTTACCAGAAGCACCTCCTCTTCCCTGCGCTGGCTCCTCCGTCAGTTCTCGACGCGCTGGGTCGTTTCCGACTCTCCCCGCTCCCTGCCGAGAGCGCCTTGCCCGAGGCCGCCTGCATCCCTGCGCGGACACGGTCAGCCTCAGCTCCGGGGTCAGGAGGAGGCCGCTTAAATCCTAACCGGCAGGGGCTCGGAGACACCCGCGTCGTGGCCCAGATCGACACTGACCACGGTCACCGTGAGCGTCAGCTCAAACTGACGAAGAGCTGGACACCCAGCGTTCCGGCTCCGGAACCAGGTGTGAGACGCCAGCTTCCGGCCCCGCCTCCCCACACCTGCCGCCCCGCCCCCTTGCACGTGGTATCTGTGCATCTATGCGTCATGACGTCACAACCTCTTGACTGAAAGGATTCCTTCTTATTCAACCGAACCCCCTGCGGCCAACGCTCCGCTCTGGATGCGAAAAAACCCAAAGTTAATAGCCATCATTCTCCTTAAAAACCATTAAACGGTTTTGAACACTAGAAGCACATCTGCTGACACCTGAACCCGTCCCGAAGCGCAGAGGGCGTTCTCACGGGGGGCCCGTGGACCCCCCAGGACTTGGGGTCAAGCACAAACTCCGTGTGAGGGGGTGCTGTCCGCTCTGGGGGGTGCAGCGCGCGCTGCTGCCGAGGGGCGAGGCCGCTGGCTCTCTGCGGCCCAAGGGCTGCCCTCCGCGTGGGGGACGGCGGGGCCCCGACAGGGCCACCGCCGCTCACCTTTGAGGACCGAGTCTTCCAGGCGCTCGGCCATCTCGTGGCACTGCCGCTGGTAGGCCGGGTTGGCCGAGCAGGGCCGCGGCTCCGCCAGCTTCCGCTGCAGCCGCTCCAGACGCTTCTGCTCCTTTTCGGCCTCCCGCTCGGCCTGTTGTCTCACCCACTCGGCCATCCTGGGACGCGAGACAGGCGTGACCGAGTGGACGGACCGCGCAGACACTTGTCGCTACAGAAAAGGCTCTCACCCCCGGCGACCCCACGGCCCCGCACGTGCTGTCCTCCTCCCCTGGACTGGGGGGATGGGGGGCGCACTCACCCACCAGCATGCTGTGCCGGGTGCCCCTAAATCCTGCGGGGAACCACCAAACCGCGGACGGAGGGAAAGCCGGGGACGATGCACGAGCACGCTGACATCTCGGGTCTGTCCCCGTACGCACGGCACAGGCACAGTCCCCATCGACAGCGGACGTGCCGGGCCCTCCGAAATAATCAGACCAGCGCGCGCCTTACGCTTTCTCGTGATTGACGTCTCGGAGTCTCCTCCCGCTGAGGTCGCGGCAAGCTTCTCGATTGGTCGTCTTCTCAATCTGCGCACCAAGGGCCCGGAGCATGGACCCGAACCCTGGGCAAGTACAGAGCAGGGGAAAGGGGTTCGAGGGCGGATACGTGCCGAATTGGAGAAAACAGTATTCGATCACAAGATTAACAAATGATCTCTTTCATTCTTCTTCTTCTTTTTTTTTTTTTTAAAGAAAAGGGATGTCAAGTTTCCGCCCAGGCATCAAAGGTAAAAGTACTGGTAAACCTGATGTTCCCTCGTGCCTCCGCCCTTCCTTTCTCTCTGAAACACTGTGTCGGCACCGTCGGGACATCTTAGAGGACTTTCCATAACATTTTATCGTGGGGGGGCGCCTGGGGGGTTCAGGCAGTTAAGCTCTGACTCTGGGTTTCAGCTCAGGTCAAGATCTCACAGTCCGTGAGTTCAAGCCCCACGCTGGGCTCTGGGCGGAAGTGGATGGAGCCTGCTTGGGATCCTCTCTCTCTGTTCCTCTGTCCCCCACCCCGTTCATGCTCATACGTCTGCTTTCTGGCTCTCTCAATTAATTAATTAATTTTAAAAAAGAATAAATGAGAAAATATCAAAACTAGGTAAGGAAATAAAGGATTTCAGAAGGCAAACAGGACCGGCAAACTCCAGAGGCCAAGGAGCTGGTGGGTGTGACACACGTGGCTCAAGGCCGGGGCGCCAGAGCCAGCGGCGCAGCCCTCTCCTACCTCCTTTTCCGCCGCGGAGCCTTGGTTCCAGACTATAAACGGCGCCAGGCCGCACTCTGTCATTGGTGTCCGTGAGTGCCCCGTCGCACTTCACGAAGAAGCATTCTGCCGGAACGTCCTAGAGACAAGTTCGAGGGTTTTAAATGCAAGTTTCCTGCGGGAAGGGGCCCGGCCAGTTATCGTTTCATCACCCCGGTTCTACACAGAGAGCAGCGTTCAGGGCGCCTGCTGAACCGAAAGTCAAAACTATGAAGAGAAAAAAGTCACTACACACACGATTCGGTCTGTAACCTCCAGAACTACGAGATCCAAACGCCAGCAGAAAGGACAAATGCATGGCTGGCAGGGCACCTGGGGGGCTGCGACAGTTAGGAGTCCAACTCTTGACTTCGGCTCAGGTCAGGATTTCATGGTCATGAGATCAAGCCCCATGCTGGGCTCCTCACTGGGCATGGAGCCCACTTGGGATTCTCTCTCTCCCTCTGCCCCTCCCCGGCTTGCACACAAGAGCTCGCTCGCTCTCGCTCGCTCTCTCTCTCAAAATTGTTTAAAAACTGCACGATTGGTACCTTCCCAGAGTGGACACAGGACAATGGAAAGTGACCACTGGATACAGTAACACATACGGATACCGATAAGACCCCGACACGCGTGGTGAGAGTCTGTCTGCTGGAGTGACCGGCACAGAAGCCTGACTGGGGGAGGTGTCAAAGGAGAAGAGTTTTATGCTCAAGGATGTTTTCTATAAAGAAAACCAGGGAAAATGAGGGGAAGGGATGTGGGCTCAAGTGTGCACACTGGTAGGAATGATCCAGGAAAAAAGGGAAACGCTGGGAAATGCAGGGGAGAGAAAACTCGTGCTAAGTAAGCTGTTCGGGAGGGAAGAGGGGACAGGATACTGGGCAAGGTGGAGGGTAATTACAAATCTTTTTTTTTTTTTAATTTTTTAATGTTTATTCACTTATTTTTGAGAAAGAGAAAACACAAGTGGAGAAGAGGGAGAGAGAGTGGGGGACACAGAATCTGAGGCAGGCTCCAGGCTCTGAGCTGTCAGCAGAGACTACACAGGGCTCAAACCCACATAGTTGAGATCATGACCTGAGCCAAAGTCGGATGCTTAACCAACTGAGCCACCCAGGTGCCCCCACCAGGCGCCCCCCAAATTCTAGATACCTTTAAAAGACATTAATGTGAGGGCACCTGGGTGGCTCAGCTGGTTAAGCCTCCGACTTTGGCTCAGGTCATGATCTCGTGGTTCGTGAGTTCAAGCCCCGCATCAGGCTCTCTGCTGCCAGCAGGGAACCTGCTTCTGATGCTCCGGTCCCCCTCTCTGTCTGCACCTCCCCAACTCAAAAACAAATTAAAAAAAAAAAAAACTAAAAAATATATGGAAGCAGAAAAATTACATCCATCACACTTCACTTCCAAACAGAACTGCATGTTAAACAAGACCACTGACCAACAAAATTGCATTTTCTACTTGTTAGGATTCTCATCTAGACACAAAGAACAAAGGAAATTTAGAACCAATTTAAGGGTCTTTAACCACTGTGCATTATAAATACTTCAAGCACAAAGCCTGAGGCTACCAGAGACAGTTCAACAAAGTCAAGTTCCCACTGTAACAAAGCGGGGGGGGCGGCTCCAAAAGGAATCCTGGGGGGGGGTCTCACCACCACCAAAAAATTATTATTATAGGACTTGGGGCCCGGGTGGAACTTGGATGAAATTGAAACGACAGTGTTTTGAGAGGCTCAAAATGAGCAGAGCTGTGTGTAAACAAGGCAACATCAGGTCCAGATTGTGAAGTAGATGAGATCCAGGCTCCTGTTTCCTTGGAAACCACACAGTTAAGATAAACGCGGAATGCCATGTTCAGAAACTCCTAATCTGAAGTTTTGCGCCCAGGCTGGAAATCGGGGGTGCGTCTCTGGATCAAAGGGACTTCTCCGGGCAAGAGTGGGATGCTTCATTCTTACTGATAAAATTTCAAACAGCAAAGTGTCTTGTAGACTATAATTTTCTAGACTGAGGTTTCTTAGTGAATCAGAAAGCAGGAGACTGCTGAGGGAGTCATTATGACATCTTAAAACTGCACCAGGTCCTGGGGAGAAATACTGCTTCCTATTAACTTCGCAGCTGGCTTCCTTCACCCGTGCTCTCCTAGCCTGAAGAACAGCAAGCCAGTTTTTACTTTCTTGATAGGAACGAACACTGACTTCACCCCGCATCCCAATAATTTGGTTTTAAAAAGCATAGATGTGAACTTGAACTATTTTTAGTTGTTCCCATATCTCATCAAGTGCCCTTATAAGTTTCTTCTTTCTGACCACATGTGTTCCAGTCCTATTTCTTAAGCACCTGACCAAAACCTTCATTTATATTTCTCCCTTCTTATTTAAAATGATTTTTTCCAAAATTTCTCATGATTAAGGTCCTATTTTTTCTGGTCCTTTTGGATCAACTGTCACAAGACGAGAAATATTTTCAGAGATATTAAAATCCGTCTATTTCGTACTGTACTCATGAAATAAGATTCTCAGAGATACTAAAGTCCGTCTATTTTATAAAATAGTTCCCCACCCAGATGGCCCAACACACCTCTGACAGTTTTTAGACTGGACTGCAGTGTAGAAAAACAAATGGGGAAGCTTAAAAACCGCATTATTTGCGAAGACGTTTTGCTTCTTCGTGGAACCGGTCCAAATACAGAGTTGGTTTAGTGTTAATGAGAGTTGATTGGTGCAGTGTTAACACGTGTGAAGCCCACAAATAACAAAGCAGAGGAATCAGCCCCGGGAAAGAGAGACCTCGTGAGGTTATAAAGAAAAACAGACGACTCCATCGACAGCCAACATTAAAATGAGATTCAGGGAGACCGCCGGATTCTTTAGAGAACCGAACAGATTCAAGGTCTCAGGCTGGTGAAAGCTGCTTGCTTGATACTTAAGTAAACCGCACACGGAACTTCACAAGTCCGCCACAGGCGTTCAAAACTATGCAGGGACAACTGTGACCACCAAATGATGAGTCGAGACATCTAAACGACAGACCGCACGAACCCATGCCCTCGCCAGGACACGAGTGGGAGGGCTTGGCCCGGACCCGCGACCCGACCAATCTATTTCCTGTCTCCCCCTCCCCACCGCCCCAACCATCCTTTGGCCCGGATTTGGAGAGGGCACATTGGTCCGGGTTGGAGCTACCCGGGCTGGGTGATCCGTGGACAAAACGCACAGGATGAATGCAGGGGAAACGTAGGGAAAGAAGCCGCAGAAGTCACCCGGTCCAACTGCCTCCTCAAAGCGCGGAGGAACAATGCAACGGGTCGCGACGACGCCAGACTGAGGGCTGGACTGGGCGCTTGAGAGCCGAGGGGCTACTCCCCGCTCTGGAGGGAGTCACAACCACCACCACCCCAACACCCCAAAACAAAAGCAAAACAAGGCCTCAGCATAGACCTGGAGCACCTTCCCACTGGGGAGCCTTCTGCTTCAGAAACAAAACCCCAAGGACCAGACGCGCCCGCCGACAGACCCTCCCCACCCGATCCCGCCCGCTCCGCCCGTCCGCCGCTGTCTCCCTCCTCCCGGAAGCGCGAACCTCACCTGATCCTGGCAGTGTCGGTGGATCACCTCGCGTACGGAGCACGCGGCCGAGGCACACCGCACTGCCTTGCACCCGAGGCCGGGGCCGCGAACCCACACCAACGCCGTAGCCTCCGCCATCTCGGCCAGGGCCCGGGCCTGGAGACTCCCGGGGGAGGAGGAGCCACTACTCTCCCGGCGCTCCTCGATGGCGTCACGGGGCCTTCAGCGTCCCGCCCCCACACCTTCCGCTCGCCCCGCCCCGCCCCTGGCGCAGTCACGTGAGCCGGGCCGCTGCGCCGCGCCGCGCCGCGCCGGCGGGGGGAGGGGAACAGGAAGGGCCTGGAGGAGGCCGATAAGGCGCTGGAGCGCGAGGGCGAGGCGTTGCTAGGAGACGTTGCTGGGGCGGGGCTCGGGGGACTCCGTATAAAAGGCCGCGCGGGGCCTGGTTTCCAGCGTTCTGGCCAGCACCGATAAGGCAGGTGCTGGGCGCCACCCGTGGGCTCCGGCCCCTTCGGTGACGTTGCGCGGTTATTTTTGGATCACGGCGAGCCGGGACCGGAGGAGGCGCGCTCCCCGGGGGCGTGGGCGCGGCCCTGCAGTCCCGGAAGCGGTTGGGGCGGCCTCCCCGGCCCCAGGGCCGCCCCGCCCCCGGGTCAGGGAGCGGCCGCAGGGGCTCCGCGATGGCCCAGCGCCTCCTTCCGCGGCAGCAGCCGTCCGCCGCGCGCTGGGCCTTCTTGCTTCTTGCTGTCTGTCTGCGCCGTTTGCACAGCGCGTCTCCCCCCCACCCTCCTGCAGCGGGCGCCCGCCACGACGGCTGGTCGCACGGAGAGGGCGCCCGCGGGGCGGAGGCCGGAGAGCGAGGCAGGCTGACAGCCCGGTGCGGGGAACCGGGGGACAGTTGGGGGATCCGCCGGCTGACCGCACAGTGCTGATCCGAGGCCACCGCCCTCCGCGGTTGAAGACACTAGGCAGAGGACACCCGCAGACTCCGAAGTCGCTGAACGGTGGCTGTAGGAGCGAACGTGGAAAGTCAGGCCCCTGAAGTTACAGATTTAACTGTTGTGTGCATCTCACTGACACCCGAGGGAATTGGACACGAAGAAAGGGCCCAGGGACAGAAAAGTTACACGGAATGATGAGGATGTTGTACATGAAGAGCAGCGTTTCGGAAAGTGGCTCTCGTGGTCCCCTGGTTGGAGGCCATGAGGTCCCATCAAGTATGAAAACAGTCCAGGAGCGCTTGAGCGGCTCAGGCAGCCTGTGACTCTGCATTTCTGCTCAGGTCATGATCTCTTGCTTCATGAGATCGAGCCCCATGTGGGGCTCTGCACTGACAGCATTTAAAAAGAAACTTAAAAAACGGAGCGCCTGGGTGCCTAAGTTGGTTGAGTGTTGGACTTTAGCTCACGTCTTGCTGTTTGTGAGTTCGAGCCCCACACCGAGCTCGATTCGGATCCTCTTTCTCTCCCCCTCCCCAGCTGGCACTAGCTTTCTCAAAAAAAAAAAAAAAACCACACAGTACAAACTGGAAAAGTTGAGCCCCCTGAGAGCTCCTGCCCACTGTCCATCCTAAGAGTCCCTGCACATGCAACCTCGAGAGAGGGGAGCCCCAAGCCTCTTCCTTCATTCTTTTTCTTCAATGAGATTAAAAAAAAAAAAGCCTATTTCAAAGGTCTTCTCCTAAAAATAACCAGACAAAAGACCAGTTTAGTTTTATATAACATTTTTGTTTCAGAGCAGCGATTCAAATAGGTGCAGATTAATTGGTCCTTTTCAGTAAGGAAAGCCCACATCATTTATTACTAGCATTATAGCTCGCCCTTCTAAAACTAAGCCTGAATGAAATTGTTCACTCTTTCTTGCACTTAAATTCCTATTATTAAAAAAAAAAAAAAAAAACACTCTAGGGGCACCTAGAAGGCTCAGTCAGTTAAGTGTCTGACTCTTGATTTCAGCTCAGGTCATGATCCACAGGTGGTGAACGGAGCCTGGAGTCACACTGACTGTTGAGCCTGCTTAAGATTCTCTCTCTCTCTCTCTGCCCCTCCCCCAGCAATGCTCTCACTCCCTAAAATAAATTAATCAATTACTAACCATCATGAGGAAACTGAGTTACCTAAAGTTGGAGCTCCAGCCAAGGACACATGAGTAGGAAAACCCTCTAGAAAGACAGCTGGTTAGCTGGGCGGCTGAGGGTGTATGGAGTGGTGTCCAGCGGACACTGTTGTGTGGCCAGGTTGGTGGGCTGCGATTATGGAAAACTAGAGACAGTTGCCGTCACCTTCCCTACCTCACTGTGTCGGGCAGGGAAGGCACAGGAAGAGGCATGTAGGGGTGGGGCCCGTAGGCGGTGAGAGGGTGGAGGCCAGTTCCTCTATTAGCAAAAACAGTGTAGCCCTGCCCTGGGGACCTTGTTTGGTGTTCTTTCCAATAAGCCACTCTGTTCCTGCCCATCTTCTCCAGAAGTCTGACTCTGGCTCCACCTTTGCTCTTTGAGCGCTGGCTCAGGCGCCCGGAGGACACGGTGAGAGCGCCCAAGGCGATGTGGAATAATTGTCCGCTGCCAGGAAATGACAGCTCCCGACAATGTCTGTGTGGCAACCCATGACGGGCTCCATTGAGCCAAAATGTCATGCTGGGCCGCAAGAACAGGAAGCGAGTCTGGACACTCTTGGCAATTTCTAGCCGTGACAGCAGGGCTCCTGAACTAGCGAATTTGCAGGCTTACATGTGTGTGACGTGCAAGGCACGCCTCTGGGTTTTCAGCCGTGTTCGTGCTCAGAGGCGAGGCGAGGAGGTTGTTGGTGCCATCGTTATGACAAAAGACAATGGTACAGGCTGGTTCCTCCCACTCCACAAACGCAAAAGCGCATAAACTCCCAAATTGGCAGGTGTCACCTAGATGGTTCCAGCCCCAGGAACAATGAGGTCAGCGCCTGGGATGGAAAACAGCTTCTGGGTAGGTGCTGTTAGGCCACCCTGGGTGGTGGATGGCGGGGGAGGCAGAGCCTGAAGCAAGGATACAAGGTGTGTGGCTGCCAGAGAAGGCACAACTCCACCCTCCTGCCTTTATTGGACAGATGAAAACAGGGCGCGCCAAGGGTGGGGTGGAGTTGAGGGGTAGAAAAGGTGTGCGTTTAGCCCTGGTGCTGGGAATAAGCAGGAGAGGGTGGAAATTCCAGAAGAGCAGGGTGGAGGCGCCCAGCCCAGAGAAAACTCTGGACCCACAGCCAGTGCTGGGGACAGAAGCCCACCGCTTTGGGGGCGCCTGGGTGGCTTAGTCGGTTGGGCATACAACCTTCGCTTAGGTCATGATCTCGCGGTTCGTGGGTTCGAGCCCCGCGTCGGGCTCTGTGCTGACTGCCAGCTCAGAGTCTGGAGCCTGTTTCAGTCTGTGACTCCCTCTCTCTCTGACCCTCCCCTGCTCATGCTGTCTCTCTCTCTCTCTCCTAGAAATAAATAAAAATATTAAAAAAAAAAAAAAAGAAGCCCACCGCTTTGTAGCATCAGCAACAAGAAAGGAACTTCCATCAATAAATTCGGTTGCTCCCGATCGCCCCGGATATTACCTTGTTTGATTTATCACAACACTCCTTTCCAAGGGCCTCTTGGTCTTCCTTCTTCGTAAGTCGCCACCAAATAAAGCAGTAACGTTAAAATTTAAAAAAAAATTAATTTCAGTCATGCTAGTCACTGCATTCGAATGATAAAGCAAAACTGGCGTAGCCCACGATCTCTCATAGATGGAGAATCTGAGCACTGGAATTCTCTCAACATTGAAATTCAATTTCTCTCTTGGCAATAATGACCCATCATTCTTTATGAGTTGTGCATGGCCGAGCCATTCAAAAAGGGATTTTTCTCCTGGAAAAATCATAGGTCTGTAGGAATATTTTTTAATGATTTGACATTGGAGTATGTTGACTTTATTCGGGTTTTCTAGAGAAACAGAGCCAATACGGTGGACAGAGAGAGAGGGAGGGAGGGAGATATATGCAGAGCCCAGAGAGATTGTGGGCTCAGTTCCAGACCACTACAATAAAGCCAATATCGCAATGAAAGCAAGTCAACTGAATTTTTTGGTGAATATAAAGGTTATGTTTACGCCATACTATAGTCTATTAAGTGTGCATTAGTATTATGTCTGAATCAATGCCCACACCTTAATGAAAAAATATTTTATTGCTAAAACACCCCAACCTACATCTGAGCCTTCAGTGACTCATGAGCTTTTTGCTGCTGGGGGTCTGGCCTCCCTGCTGGCGGCTGTTGACTGGTCAGGGTGGTGGAACTGAAGGTTGGGGGCCGTGGCAGTTTCTGGAAATAAGACAATGAAGTTTGTCTCATCAAGAGTCTCTTCCTTTTTTTTTTTTTTTTACTATTTTTTAATATTTTGGATGTTTATTTTTCAGAGAGAAAAAAAGAGCATGAGCAGGGGAGGGAGAGAGAGACACACAGAATTCAAAGTAGGCTCCAGGCTCTGAGCTGTCAGCACAGAGCCTGATGCAGGGCTCAAACTCACAACAAACTGTGAGATCATGACCTGAGCTGAAGTCGGACGCTCAAATGACTGAGCCACCCAGGCACCCCAGGCTCTTGCTGTTTTAAACAGGGTTATTAGAAGCACGGTGGTCTGCTTAAGAGCCTCCTAAAAGCAAATTAATAGGAAAGACATGACATGAAGCGGGCAGACAAGAAGAACAGATTGCAAAATAGAGGCTACAGGAGGTTGGAGTGCAGACACTGATAAGAAGTAACAGTTGGTGGCTGGAGCAACATAAAAAGACAAAGCAAAGCTACCGCCACGGGTGGGGTGGAGTCAGGGTACGGGGGTAAGGAACGCCACGCTCCCCGACCTGTAGGTATTCCTGTATCACAGCAGAGTGAAAGCATGGAGGAAAATACCTGAATCCTGAATCCTGAAGGAAAGACTCAGCTATATCCACTGAACCCTAGCTCAGCTGGCTAGGCAGCCAGATACACACTTTATTTTATTCATGTTCTTAAAGATAAGTACTCTTTTTATTTTTTTTTAATATTTATTTATTTTGAGAGAGAGAAAGCATGAGCTGGGGGTAAGCAGAGAAAGACAGAGAGAGAAATTCCAAGCAGGCTCCGTGCTGTCAGCGCAGAGCCGGACGCGGGGCTCGATCTCACAGAGCAAGAGGCCATGACCTTAGCCTAAACCATGATTTGGATGCATCACCACCTGAGCCCCTGGGCAC